AAAAAAAAAAAGCCTCCGAAAAATTAACGTATTAATACGTTAAACTCTCATTAGCTTAATGTATTAATACAACTCTTATTAGCTTAATGGTAGAGCCTAATACTCCTAATATTTAGATTCAAGTTCAAGTCTTGAATAAGAGCAGTATATTCTAATAATTACATAAACGAAGGTAATTTATGGAATTGTAATAGTTTTAGCCACTAATATTTAGATTCAAGTTCAAGTCTTGAATAAGAGCAGTATATTCTAATAATTACATAAACGAAGGTAATTTATGGAATTGTAATAGTTTTAGCCTTATAACAATGGTTACCTCTACTTGGCAGCAAGGCAAGAGTAACCGGCAATAACAATAAATGCCTAGTATAAGTGGTACCTCCCTTCTGTCTTCTAAAATATTCTATCTTAAAATAGTGCTATATTTATGCTTATATTAATAAAATACCAAACCGTTGCCTCATCCCTCTACGAAGTAGAGGGAGGCCTACTTCGTAGAGGCATGCGGGCAGGTAGATATACACTTATATATAGTTGCAATTTAAAAAGACTCGATTCAGTTTGGATTAATAACAGTTAAAAAATTAAAGATGATACAAGCAGCAAAAATAATTGGTACAGGTTTAGCTACAACCGGTTTAATTGGTGCAGGTGTTGGTATAGGTGTAGTTTTCGGAGCCTTAATTCTAGGTGTAGCTAGAAATCCCTCGCTAAGAGGTCAGCTATTTTCATATGCAATATTAGGATTTGCTTTTGCAGAGGCTACAGGTTTGTTTGCTCTAATGATGGCATTTTTACTGCTTTATGTTGCCTAATATATTTATATAAATTCTCATTTATGTGTATATATAAAAAAAAATCCCTTTTTTTACTAGTGCTTCTACTTAGGTAGTATGGTAGTGCTTCTCCTTAGGAAGTGCTTCTTACTAAGTATGGCAGTGCTTTGCAATAAGTTGAGCAAAATAATTTATCTTTTTTTACTAAATATATNCTACTTAGGTAGTATGGTAGTGCTTCTCCTTAGGAAGTGCTTCTTACTAAGTATGGCAGTGCTTTGCAATAAGTTGAGCAAAATAATTTATCTTTTTTTACTAAATATATTAGTCAAATTTTTAAATTACTGCTTATTAGTCAAAAAGTACGGTAAAATTTTTTTTTTTTAGAATTAGCTTAAGGTAAAGCCAATTTGACTTAATAATTCTTAAGCCAAATCCAAATAAAAGTTCGAATCTTTTATTCTTTAGCTATTGACTCTTTTCTATTTAAAAACCTTGAGGTTAATTCTACTCACTATCTTATGCCATCCCTTGCTTTTTTTTTGGTTTGTTGTGGTTTTTTGGCAAAAAGAGCCAGCAGAGCCACCAGAGCCCTTACTGGGAGTGTCTTCCTAGATTAGTTCGAATCTTTTATTCTTTAGCTATTGACTCTTTTCTATTTAAAAACCTTGAGGTTAATTCTACTCACTATCTTATGCCATCCCTTGCTTTTTTTTTTGGTTTGTTGTGGTTTTTTGGCAAAAAGAGCCAGCAGAGCCACCAGAGCCCTTACTGGGAGTGTCTTCCTAGATTAAGACATCCCAGTAGTATGAGCGACAAGAGCCCTTACTGGGAGTGTCTTAATCTAGGAAGACATCCCAGTAGTATGAGCCACAGGAGGAGCAGATAAGTATGCATCCCATCCACCCCCTTGCTTGTGTGTAAACATCCATGCATCCCAGAAGTAGGGCATGGCTTCCCAGCCAGTCTTCCTTGAGAAGACACTCCCAGTAGTATGGTCCATGCATATTTCGGACGAAGTACAGCAAGAAAAACAAAATATAAAAGTTTATTTATGCGTTGTGCATAGTATTAGTAAAGATTAACTAATCCTGAGGGAAACCTGTATATACTTTTTAAACTTAAACATGTTACTTTCTCTTTTATTAATCGTACCTTTATTAGGTATATTTGGCATATCGACGGGTATGTCCTACAATTTATTAAATAGCGACCGCTCTTGCTCCGCACCCGCAATAAAAAAAATCGGTTTACTTACATCTATACTTAATTTATTTATATCGTTAATAATTTTTATATTATTTGATTTTAGTAACAATCAATTCCAATTTGTCCAAGAATACCATGAAATAAACTCTTTTGATTTTTATTTAGGTCTGGATGGCTTATCAATATACTTTGTATTATTAACTACTATAATAACTCCAGTAGCGTTATTAAGTAATTGAAATTCTATTCAAGAAAATGTTAGATCATATGTGATAATAATTTTATTACTAGAAACTTTATTATTAGCCGTTTTTTTAGTACTAGATATCTTGTTATTCTACATATTTTTTGAAAGTATATTACCACCATTATTTATACTAATAGGTCTATTTGGATCAAGTAATAAAGTACGAGCGAGTTTTTATTTCTTCTTGTACACATTAATAGGGTCATTATTTTTATTATTGTCTATATTAACTATGTCATCTATAATGGGTACTACCGATTTTGATGCCTTAATGAAAACTAATTTCAAATATTCTACACAACTATTTTTATTTTATGGTATATTTATAGCATTTGCAGTGAAAACACCTACTATTTTTTTAAACGCTTGATTATTAAAAGCTCACGTGGAGTCACCTTTAGGCGGTAGTATTATATTAGCTGCAATTGTATTAAAATTAAGTTTATACGGTATTTTTAGACTCATATTACCTCTATTACCTAAAGCCTCTGTAGATTATACATATATAATCTACCTTATAGGAGTTATAACTATAATATATGCTAGTTTTAGTACTTTAAGAACCATAGACCTAAAAGAACTAATTGCTTATAGTTCTGTATCACACGCAGCTGTATACTTAATTGCTGTATTTAGTAATACTATTCAAGGAATAGAAGGTGGTATTGCTTTAGGGTTAGCTCACGGGTTCGTTTCTAGTGGTCTATTTATATGTGCTGGAGGAGTCTTGTATGATAGATCAGGTACTAGACTAATTTTTTGTTATAGAGGTATTGCTCAGGTAATGCCCTTATTTTCTATTTTATTTTTCATATTATCTTTAGGTAATTGTGGAGTTCCACTTACTTTAAATTTTGTAGGGGAGTTTATGTCTTTATATGGTGTATTTGAAAGATTGCCTTTATTAGGGGTTTTGGCTAGTTCATCTATAGTATTTTCTGCCGCATATACTATATATATGTTTAACCGTATAGCCTTTGGAGGATCTTTTAGTACATTTTTTGAAGCTAACCTAAGTGATGTAAACAAGCGAGAATTTTTTATATTACTTACATTAGTAGTATTTACTGTAATATTAGGAATATATCCTGCTCCTATATTAGACGGTTTACATTACTCTGTATCAACATTAATTTATAACAATATATTCGAGCAAGCAATATAATAAAAGTTGCCTACAAAGTATAAGAGTTTAAAATGTCGCATATTATTAGGCAGGTAATGTCATATTATGGCTAATATTCTTATTATTATTGCTCTCTCTTCGCTGCTTCGCTGCTTCGCTTCGCAGCTTCGCAGCTTCGCAGCGAAGCAGCGAAGAAAGTGGCACTAGTAAGCATTATTCTTTTTAGCAGTGGAGAAACCAGGCAGGCGTAAAGTTTGTCGCATGCTTAAGCATACGTTTGGATGCCCCACCCTTTTTTTAGGTATGTGTATGCTACGATAGTAATGGCGTGTATCACCAGACCCAGATTTTTTATGGTGTTATACTACGATACATATAGTAATGGTTATTACCACCAGATATTTTTAAGATGAGTTTGATGATGGCTCTGAATGAACGCTGTCCAAATGCTTGACACATGCTAATCGTACGTCTAATTTAATAAGTGAATATCATTAATATCATTTATTTTTTTTTGATATATCAAAAAGTGGTTATCATTAATTTCATTAGAAGTGGTGTACAGGTGAGTATATTTTATTTTGGCTGCCTTAAAGCAAGGTGAATAAATACCTTATATGTAACACTATGGTGAGTTAATGTTCATCATTAATATTGTAAGTTAATGTTCTTCATTAATATTGTAAGTTAATGTGGTTCATTAATATTAACGTTAACAAGTCGTTATTGCTAACGTTATACCATTGAAGTAATTAAAGGAAAGCGATTTCCGCTTTAAGAGGACTATAAATATTCCGGATAGGTAGTAATTAAGGTAATGGCTTAATTAGCTGGATACTCCGTAGTCGAGGCTGAGAGGTCGATCGATCACATTGGGTCTGAAAAAACCCCAATACGTATAGTACAGCAGTGGGGAATATTGGTCAATAGCCGTGCGCCGTCTAATAATATATTTTGGTAGTCTCTTTAACGAAGAGATCAGATTATTTCATTTTTATCTGTAAAGCACCATACTTATCCTCGGTCATAAAAGGCGTCACCTTAGACCTTGTAAATCTGGCGACAGAGAGGGGAGTGTAGCATGTATGGAAAAACGACTGTGCGATAATTAGTACCACACTAATCGTAGCAACGACAACACAGTTGAAGCTAAGAAACTCATGGTATTTAGAACGAGATGTGAATGAGGTACGACCACCTCCGTGATGTAATGTGGTAAAATCACGTCTATTATTATGTGTTATCGGGCTATGAACGCATAAAAAGAAATTAATAGAGTTCAACCAGGAAAAAGGGAAAACAACATCTATACCTAAAAGTTTCAAGTCCAAGTATATTAGAATTCGGGAAATCTTAACGTCATATAATTATGTAAACCACTTGGTCATATAACGTAATACTTCTAACCTACAAGACATTCGTAAATTAATATTCGTTATGTATTTAATCAGAATTCAAGTCAAGAGAACTAGAAATTTTATCCGTTTACATCATTACAATATGACATCTTATGTAAGTCGTACCAATAACTAAATTATCTTAATCCTGCTTTTGCTTCAATTATAAAATAAGTCAGTACATACTTAACATTCGCTAATGCAATTTACAGTTTATTATATCAAGTCTGGCAAACTGTCGAGTCAGGACATAATTATTCTTGGGCTAGCCCCCCAGCTTATATTATTCTAGAGTGAGACTAATAAATATCATGTAAATTGCTAGGGAGTCCCAAAGTTGAAAACAACTTCAAAGAGACATGAAATCAAAGAAAACTGAAATATTTAAAGGGCATTATGACTGAATGTTTCACAAGAACAACTCCTACATATATGCCATCACTAGTTTGGGCATAATTTAATCCCTAGTGTCAGGATATAAGTAAGGTCTCTTTTTGGGGATTAAAGGCCCTCAAGTAGATACGATCTTAATGAACAATAAACAAAACTTCAGACGAATCCTAAATATCAAGGTTAGTAGATGATGGAGTCACCTTTTTGATGGAGTCTCCCACTTAGTGACAATTAAAAAACCCAAAAAAAACATAAAAGCTAACCAAACAAACAATATCAATATAAAACATATGACTGAGATCATAGAATATCAGAACCATCACCTTACTAATCCAAAAAAAAACCCTATTTACATACAGGAACTTAAAAAGGTTAAACCAGAGAATGATAATTTCTACACTATAATTAGTGAAAGAATGATCTTTGACTCTGAAGGTAAATGTACTAACTCATTTGAAATCTTAAGTGATGTAAACACTCTATCCTTAGCGTATAACTCCATTAAAAGTAAACCTGGAAATATGGTTAAAGGTTCAGACAAGGATACGTTAGACGGCATTAGTAATGATTGGTTTATCAAAACTAATCAACTACTAAGAAAAGAATCTTGAATCCCAAAACCTTCTAGACGAATTTATATCCCTAAAACAAATGGAAAACTGAGACCGTTAGGTATCAGTAGTCCAAGGGATAAAATAGTTCAACAAGCTATGAAAATGATCCTAGAAACCTTCTTAGAACCTAAATTTTCTAAACATTCGCACGGTTTTAGACCCTCTAAAGGATGCCATACCGCGCTTAATGAAATTAGGCACTGAAAAGGAGTCTCTTGATTCCTGGAAGGTGACATTAAAAGTTTCTTCGACAATATAGATCATCACATACTAGAAAGAATGATAAATGAACATTTTAAGGACAAAAGACTTATTAATTTATATTGAAAGTTTGTTAAAGCAGGATACGTGGAATGAGAAAGTAATAAATCTAAATATGTTACTACTGATATGGGGGTTCCTCAAGGTGGTATTATAAGTCCACTCTTATCTAACCTAATTTTAAATAAACTTGACTCGTATATGGAGGAAATTATTGAAAAACTAGAAGCCAAGAATAAAACTATAAAACCATACACGAAGAGCCTCAAGTATAATAATATAACTATGAAGATAGATAGACTAAGAAAAAAAATTAAAAATATTAATGACCCAATTGAAGCTAAACCTTTAAGAATTAGAGCAAAATTACTTACCAAAGAAAGGAGAAAAATGAAATCGTTAACACCAAATCCAGAGTATGTCCAAATTAAATATGTCAGATATGCAGACGATTGATTGGTAGGTATTTGAGGGGGTAAAGAAATAGCCAAACAGATCAAAAATCAGGTTGCAAAACTTCTTTCAGATCTTAAACTTGAACTTTCCCTTGAGAAGACGTTAATAACCAATGCTAGAGTTGATAGAGCCAAATTCCTGGGAACTTTTATTAAAAGATGTGCTTCTGCTAGAGGTACCCTATACATAAAAAACAAAAAAGGAAATATCAGAAGAGCACCTTCGGGTAATCTTTGAATGTCAGCTCCTATTCAAAACCTAGTTATGAAACTAGAAGAAAAGGAATTCCTGATTCGGAAAGAATTCAGATGGATCCCAAAATCCATTGGTAAATTTACCGCTCTACCTATCTCTGACATTATTTTAAGATATAACTCCATAGTTAATGGAATAGCCAACTATTATAGTTTTGTGGATAATAGGAGACTACTTAGAAAGATCACTTGGATCCTTAAAGAGAGTCTGCGTAAAACTATCAGTAGAAAGCTGGAACTAAATAAATCATCTTTCACCTCCAGATTTGGTAAGAAAATAGCTATTAATATTTTCAATAAATCGAAAAACCAAAATAATATAATTCAATTTGTAGAAATTGACTATACAAGAAGGCCAATGCTGTTCTTAGGGAAATCTCAGTTCAGCGATCCTATGGCTAGCCTAATATATAAAGTATCCACTATTAGATCCCTTGACATGGCATGTGCAAGTTGTGGGTCAACTAATAAAATAGAGATGCACCATCTAAAACACATTAAAACCATTAATACTAAATTAAGTAGTTTTGATCAGATGATGGCGAAGATTAATAGGAAACAGGTCCCATTATGTAGGAATTGTCATATGGAGGTACATAAAGGAAGCTATCAAGGTAAGTCATTAAAAAATTATAATAAAATATGAACCACGATTAAAGATATTAGTGAATAAGACAAACATCTGACAGAATTGATCACGTTTAAACACTGATACAATAAGTTAAGATCTCAGAGACTCCATAGTAGTAACTAGAGGTACACTGGTATGAAGGGAGTCAGCTCAAACAATTTAGTGAATAAACTAGTAGTAGCAAGGAGCTAAGCAAGCTCATCTATCTACGACTAGTCAATTTTTACGACAAGCTTTAGCATCAATGAAGAAGGATGCTAGCCATATTTGGCCATACTCGTTCATGTAGTAGTTTGAGGGGAGAGCCGTATGCATTGAAAGGTGCACGTACGGTTCGGAAGGGGGTTCACTATACTGGGTTCCTACCTTATTAACGGCTGAACCAGCAATTTGGGAGAATGAATAGCTTCGGCTAATTACACTTGGCTGTCTAATTTAATATAAATTTTTATATTAAGTTATGCAATTTAACCACCCCGTTACTGGTAAAAAGCTTAAAAAAGGGGTGGTTAATTAATTTGTCTATTCTGCGTGATTAGAGAAATGGGATTAAGGATATATCTTATTTCAAGGGACAGGTGTAAGATCGATTTTATCGAATAAAATTCTAGATAGGATACTGATTATGACAATTTTCTATCTATATGTCTTGACCAAAATACGTGCCAGCAGTCGCGGCAATACGTAGAAGACTAGTGTTATTCATCTTTATTAGGTTTAAAGGGTACCTAGACGGTTTAATTAGTCTTAAATAAGAAACGATTAGACTAGAGTTATATATGAGGAGGGGAGTATTTATGGAGTAGAGTTGAAATTCTGTAATACCATGAAGACTGATAACGGCGAAAGCAACCTTTTATCTAATAACTGACGTTGAGGGACGAAGGCTCGGGTCGCGAACAGGATTAGATACCCTAGTAGTCCAAGCAGAAAATTATGAATGCCATAGATTAGATTCACTATCTTTATATACAGAAAAAAAAGGGGTGTTTATATTTAGTCTATAAATGAAAGTGTAAGCATTTCACCTCAAGAGTAATGTGGCAACGCAGGAACTGAAATCATTAGACCGTTTCTGAAACCAGTAGTGAAGTATGTTATTTAATTCGACTCTACGCGAAAAACCTTACCACAATTTGAATATTATCTTAACACTAACCATGTTAGTAGAAAGATATTACAAGCGTTGCACGGCTGTCGGCAGTTAATGTCGTGAGATATTGGTTTATTCCATTAAATTAACGGAAACCCTTGCTTTATTTGTATTAAAAAAAATAAAGCAGCACACCTTTATATTGGTTATGTTAATAGGGACCAAGACAAGTCATCATGGCCTGCCGAGCGATGTAGGAAATCGCTTAAGTGGGTAAAACTATCAAACTCCGGGGACACCCTAAAGCTTCTGATACCAAGCTATATATGAAAATATATGAGTGGCTGAACTAATTACTCAGAGATGGTAACAAGTCAGAAGATGATTGAAAATGAAATGGGCTATCGCGGATCTAAGTCAGATTTTTTATTAAAATCTGTAAAAGAGCAACGAGTAGACGGTAGTTGATGTCTTAATAATTTAAGACATTTAAGGTGTACTCTAATGGGTACCGAAAGGTATTATCGAGTCAGAATCCCCTCTAACCAAATAAATATAGCTAGATTGACTACTATGTCTATACCTTCTAATAAGATGAATCCCTGGTTTTTTACAGGATTTATTGATGCAGAAGGTTCTTTCTCAATTTTAATTCAACATGATATTAAATATAGAACCCATTGAAGAGTTAAGCATATTTTTGCTATTGGACTACATATAAAAGATCTTGCTCTATTAGAAGAAATAAAATTTACAATGGGTGTAGGTAAAATACATAAACACGGTAAAGATTCTGTTCAATATAGAGTAGATTCTATTAAAGAATTACAAGTTATCATAGACCATTTGGATAAATATCCTCTTATGACAGCGAAGAAAGTTGATTATGCTTTATTTAAAAAAGCATTTAAATTGATCAAAGATGGAGAACATTTAAATAAAGAGGGTTTATTAAAAATAGTAGCCATTAAGGCTTCTCTTAATTTAGGTTTAAACTCTAATTTAAAAGAAGCCTTTTTAAATGTTATTAAGATTAATAGACCAGGTTATACTTTTAAAGGTCCTCTTCATCCATTCTGAGTAGCAGGATTTATAAGTGGAGATGGTAGTTTTAATGTAAAAGTTAGTAGTTCTATAACGAGTAAACTAGGTAAGAGAGTTCAATTAAGATTTGGGGTAGGTTTAAACCTTAGAGAAAAGGAACTTATCCAAGGTCTGGCTACTTTCTTTAATTTAGACCCCTGCGGAGGAAAATATGTTTATACTACAATTGATTCTGTGTATCTTGAAGTTTCCAAATTTTCATTTATTATAGATATAATAATACCCTTTTTTGATAACTACCCTATACAAGGTATAAAAAGTTTAGATTTTTCTGATTTCAAGAAAGTGGCTTCGATTATGGAAAATAAAGAACATTTGAGCATAACTGGTTTTAAATATATCATGAGTATTAAAGAGGGAATGAATAAGAATAGATTATAGTTAAATGTTAAAGTTGTAAAAAAAAAAGNTCGATTATGGAAAATAAAGAACATTTGAGCATAACTGGTTTTAAATATATCATGAGTATTAAAGAGGGAATGAATAAGAATAGATTATAGTTAAATGTTAAAGTTGTAAAAAAAAAAGGACGCTTCGATTTAAATAACTTTTATACCCGCAGGCTTAAGGTTAATTTATATTTATTTGTATGATAAATCTGATCGCTATGAAATATTGTGGGCGATAGACGTNAAAAAAAAAGGACGCTTCGATTTAAATAACTTTTATACCCGCAGGCTTAAGGTTAATTTATATTTATTTGTATGATAAATCTGATCGCTATGAAATATTGTGGGCGATAGACGTGCCACATGTTCCTATACAAAATGAAGCGAAAATGTGAATTTGAGCTAATCTAATAAAGTAGGATAGAAAATGGATTGTAGTCTGAAATTCGACTACATGAATAAGGAATTACTAGTAATCGTGAATCACCACCGTCACGGTGAATTTAATCTCAGATAGGTACTAACTACTCGTCAGGCACCGAAAGAAGTGTGTGCAATAAGTTTGGTCTATATTTTATTTGCATTAGAGCAGTTTATCAAGTGGATATTATGGTAGAACTTCGTATGCGTGACTTTGATTGGTGTTAAGTCGAAATATGGTTCGTGTAGTGGAAATTGCACGGGATTAATTAATATTAACTATGTATATATATACATATATCTGCCACTATATTTATTAATATAGATTAAAAAAATTTATTTTTTTATTATTGGTGCATGTATGTATATAAAGGAAGGTCCCGTTTGTTGGTATGGCGGGCTGAGCTGTAAACTCAGTAGCTTAAGCTGTCGAAGGTTCGAGTCCTTTTCTTCCTAATAATAAGTATATTAGTATATAATATAATTAGCCTTTATAGCTCAATGGTAGAGCGAGATACTGTTAATATTTTTATAGATGTTCGATTCATCTTAAGGGCTCAGACTTCTTGCCTTACAATTTCATATCCATGAGCCAAAAAACCACAACAACAAAAAAAAAGGCCACCGGAGGATGTAGCCCTCAAGGAATACTGGGAGTGTCTTAATCTAGGAAGACATCCCAGTAGTAGGAGGGAGGAGCCTACTTCGTCCGGTATGACAACCCTGTAGGAGCAAGAAGTTTTACTGTTTGACTTACACGTCTATCAGTCACGGAAGCGGGGTACAGACCCCATAAAGAGCTACGCTAGGGATTTAGTCAGCAGTCCCCCGATGTTAAACACATCTCTTCCCACTCAGAAGTATGGTGAGGAAGAGATGTGGTAAAACTATTGGTAAAAATAGGGTTAATTTCAAGAACGACTCTTTTTATAAAAAAGTTAACTTGAAGCGTAATTTACTTAAACTATAAAACATTTATATAAAAGTAAAAGCGTTCAACGACTAATATAGGATATATCCTTTTGTCNGACTCTTTTTATAAAAAAGTTAACTTGAAGCGTAATTTACTTAAACTATAAAACATTTATATAAAAGTAAAAGCGTTCAACGACTAATATAGGATATATCCTTTTGTCCCCAACATGACTTTTCTTTTATATATTAATTTGACCTGTATTTTATTTCAATATATTAGTATAGGGCAATAATCGTTAAATTATATGTACATATTCCATCAGTACTTATCCTTACGTTTACCCTTACGCTTACTACGCAGGAAGGTATGGTATGGTATGGCATATATTAATGAAATAGGTTTAACCCTCATTCTATTTACATGGTGGTGGTGGTGATATCCTTACGTTTACCCTTACGCTTACTACGCAGGAAGGTATGGTATGGTATGGCATATATTAATGAAATAGGTTTAACCCTCATTCTATTTACATGGTGGTGGTGGTGAGACAGACGTTAGAAGTTAAAGGTTGAGCTTAGGGTATTCCTTTTCTAAAAAGCCGTAAAAATAAAAAATACAATTAACCATGAAAAACTCAAACAACACAGGCTTTATATTAATTAACTCCAAACCAAAACTACTCACAGCTACAAAAGATATAAATATTATTGAATCTTATATACTTAGTCTCCAGAAAGATCTAATAATAAAACTTGGCGCTGATGCCAGTAATCCCGATATATTTGTCCCTCTTAAATTGACGGCTTTATATGATAAGTTTAAGATATCTATAACAAACCCAGATATCCACAAATCTTTTTTAAGATCATCCGATCAATTTTTGATGAATTCAAACTATTCTAAATTTCTTCAACAATACTTGGAAAGTATAGAATTACGTAACAAGTTTTTAATGGATTCAGGTCCAAACGAAAATATTAAGCTATATCGGGACAAAATGCTTAATTTTAAATTAAATATGCATAAGGTAAGTACTGAGTCTATAGATACATCTCCATTTGTAAATACTCCATTTTCAACTTTAAATACTCATCTGAGGGAATTTTAACTTAAATGATTAAACATCTCTGCATTTTTAATATTGGAATTTAATCAAACATATCCGGCTTTCTTGTATGCTATGGGTAACTATACAGATAGTAAATTAAAAGTTAATCCTGATTTAAGGGAAAGGAGACAATATTTTACATATTATATTCACATTGAACAATTACTAGATGATTACTCGTATATTAAAAACTTCACCATTCGAGGTAAAACCGCAGATTTTTATAGAGAAATACTCGAGGATCATCTGTTTATAAGCTTAAATTTATTGTTTGCCTATGATTTAATTAAGCTATACTATCCAAATAAGCACCCGGTAACCGGTTTATACTACAAAACAAATAAGGTTACTACATCAGATATTAAAAATATAATAGAAAACCATAATGAAAAATATGAAGGTTATCTACACTTAGAAAGTTTAATGAACATAGAGCTAGATAAAATGGCCAATAATAAATAGTATGTTTTTAATTAAGCTTTATTATAATTATAAATTACGTGGTTTAGTAATAAATAGTCTCATAGATCTGTAGTAATAAGGATAAAGTTTGCTCTAATCTCGCGTGGCTTTAATTATATAAAGGAAAAGAAAGTCATGAAGAAATAGTCTGAACCATCTTGCGAAAGATGGAAATAGAGAATTAGTCTGAACCATCTTGCGAAAGATGGAAATAGTTAATCTCTTTTAACCAAATTGAACAGGCTAATTGCGCCAGGAAGTACAAATTGAGTGCGCAGTTTGGCACCTCGATGTCGGCTTAACTTATCCACATGAACCCTTGCAGTAATCATGAAGGGTTCGTCGATTAAAAAGTTACACGAGCTGGATTAATTGACGGGCGTTTAGCTATACCATCATCTTTTATGGTTATGGGTTAAATATATAGATTATAACCTTTAATTAATGAAAAGCCGCTATACTAAATTTATCTTAACTAATCGCCATATAAAGCTATTAAAACAGATTACAAATTTAACCAATATTCGCGGTTATCTTATTAGCCTCCAAAAGTATTTAATGATTAACTATGTAAGTAAAAATACTACGAGTTTAAACACTTATAGTTCTTTCAAATTATTAGCATTAGACACCAAGTTTAATTTTAAAAGTGACAGTATTTATGAGACTTTTTTATCTTTTAATATATGGTTATTTAATTTTTATTATAATCATATTTTGAATAAATCCGAGGTTTTTTTTTCTAACGAAGTATGCCTCCTTACTTCTTTACTGGGATGGTCTGATATGGCCTGGCTTCTTTTGGCCTACTTCTTCCCTCACGGCTTTGGCCTTTTGCTGGTTCTGGCTGGTAGGGGATGTTCTGTTTCTCGTGCGACAAACACCCAGCCCTCCTACTTCTTGCCATGGCCATGGGGATGTCATACATACATACTTCTGCATGTTTCGGACGAAGTACAGCTAAAAAAAGAAAGCAAAGAAGTATGCAAA